AGTCGTGTTAGCTCAGGAATTCTGGGAGTTGAAGTCCACAAGTCTTATAGTTGGCAAGTTTGGGGACCGCTGCCCTATGCCATTTTGGACTAATGGCTGTCCGATCTCTTCTTTAAAAACTTCCACAGCTTCTGGAGGCAAGTTGTTCCACTGACTAAGTGTCCTCACTGAAAAGGACATTTCTTAGTTCTAGGTTGGGTCTCTTTTGAAGCTTCCATCTGTTATTTCTGGTCTTGTCCTCGGGTGCTTTTGAGAACAGGCAACTGGAGAATTTGGACAGAGTCAGAGCATCTAAGGGAACTGCACAACTAATGGATATTTCAATGGAAAAGCAGGGAAGAGCCATACACTCTGGCACAGGTGACAGGTTTTAGCTTTCCAAGAACGCCAGCACTGCGAGATCAGAGGCGCAGAGCAATATCTAAGATGGTTTTTAAAGCAAAAGGACCCTCCGGAGAAAAGTATTTGCCCTGGTGCTTAGGGAAGAGAAAAACATAGTGGGCATTCCTAATTTGCTTTGGGCTTGAACATCACATCCCCTTCTCCAAATCCAGCAGTTAAAAGGATTTTCTGTATTTCCTGTATTTTCACTGTGCTTCTCCAGTTCCTTCATGGAGATCCTGTCCTAAATTATGGTCGAATTGTCAAGGGAAAGTCTTTACTTCGTCGCTGAACACAAGGCCACGTTTAACCACAAGCTAACCCTCACCACATTTGGCAAAGAGTCCGAATGCACGCAGAGAACAATTAACTTATGGTTCAGCACACTCAGCCATGCTCAAAAAACAACCAGTTCACCACAAGGCCCAAGTTCTTCTTCTATTGCTCATTTTAACCCGACGCGAGATAATTTGTTTCAAACTTTTAGAGAAGAGAAACTGAAGTGAAACCATCGTGGCTGGGAGGTTTTCCTACCGAGGGACTGTCATGCGATTAAAAAAAAAAGAGAAAAAGAATTCCCTTTCAAAAGAAAATTGCAGAAAAGAATTTTTTTTGTCAAGGGGAGAAGATGCTACGCTAGATAGATTGAATGCCAAGAGGTGTCTTCTATTGCTTCACTATCCCGGTGTCGTGTTCATTGCAGTAGCCTGAGGTTTCCCTGGATTTTTAAATTTCAAGAAAAGGAATTGAGACAGCAGAGGGGGCAGCCAGATAGCCCCCCCTAAACAAAACTGAAAGCATCACTTGAAAGCAGAAGCTTCTAGTATGCCTGAAGTACAAAAACACCTTGTTAAAGCTTTTTTGAGAAGAGCGGAAAAAAGAGTTTTCCAAGGAAAGGAAACCTTTGGAGCAGCTCTTAAGGCCCTGGTTGGAATAGCATTAGTTAACTGAATAAGCCATAGGTAAAGGTAAAGGTTACCCCCGCTGGTCCCGTGATGGTGAACCGATGACTCTTGGCTATGGATGTGTCCCATTGGAGGATATACACCCAGGGGGTGGGGGGAAGACCAGGGTTAAGGGGGAAATGAATGGTGTATTTTAGTATCGGCTGCATCCAGCTAACACCAAGATGGCCACTTCTAATAAATCAATTTTATTTTCTCTGAGAGATGCAGCTATGATTTGAATGGGGGTGGATTTGTTGGGAGACAGAACCTATGGCACACGTGCTGGAAGTAGCACACAGAGCCATCTCTATGGGCATACGAGCCGTCGCCCCAGTTCAGTTCCACTGTGCATGTGTGCGTGCCTCCTGC